GGGTCATCGCTTTGAGTAGACATGGTTTCATCAGTAACCTCGAGGGCTTCCCAGATCTTGAGTTTAAGCTCGTCTTTTGTCATGGATGGATTTTGTTGTTGAAGGACCACATATTCTGAAATGTCCATTTTTGGAGGTGGAGAAGATGATATAAATTTCATTTTGATTTGTTGGGATTTAGGGAGTCGTTTTTGTAACTATCCCACCATTTAATAGAAATTTGTCTGTGTAATTCTAGGACATAATCATATCTGTCCATGTCAATCTGAGGAGACTTGGTATTCCCACCTTAAAATCCATCGGACCTGATATGAGGCCATAAAATATAAGTGAAAGTTTCATTTTAAACTTTTTCAGATATATATATATATATATATGCACACGCACACACACACATATATCATGGTTATCGGGAGCCCTCAACTAGGGTGGCGCTCCCACTTTGGAACTAATGTAGATAAAAATTTAGAAAGTGCGCATAGATAGGGTGGGGCACGCATAGATAATATGGGGCATGAGTTTTAGTAGGATTGGGGATATGGTTGATTTTAATATTGGGCAAAGGGATTTAGGTCTCCTATTTTGATGTATTTGGGAGATTTACCTTGAGATTTCTAGGAGTTTTAGATAGAGATGATTTATGGGGAGGATAAAGATGGACAAATATGGTGCGTAACTTTTAAGAGAGATGATATTTTCTTGAGAGAGGAAATAGGGAGAGAGATCTAGAGATGATATTTTTGTAAGAGGGAAAATATGGAGGGAGAAGAAAAACTTGGAAGAGAGAGAGAATTTATTTTATTTGGGGTTTTTTTAGTTATTAATTTTATTTGAAGTGTATTTAAAGGGAAAAGGTCCCTCATTGTAAACATATAAGAGAATGGTCAGAGAATGAGAGTTGAATAAAGTTGATCTTGTGATAAGATCTTTTTGGGGTGGATTCCCTTGCAGACCTTATTTTGAGGTGGATTCCCTTGCAGACCTTTGTTTTTTGGGTGGATTCCCTTGCAGACCTTGAGTTACTATTTCTCCTTGCATTAGTTGGTATCAGAGCACTAAGATCCCTGATCTCGTTATGGAGTGCTTCGATCAAAGATTTGATAGAATCAAAGGAGACCTAGTAAAGAGTATTAGCAAAGTAATAGAAAAATATCTACGAGATGTAGTTTATAGATTACAATCGGAATAAGAGGAAGAAGAATATGAAGAGGTACATCTCGATACAACAGACGACGTTGATAACCCCAATGTGCAACAAGAATATGGAGAGGTAGATCTCAATACAAAAGATGATGCTGATAACACCAATGTGCAAGAAATTTTGAAAATCAATTATGAAGAAGAATATACGTGTAATGCAATATTTGACATTCAACCGAGTGATTCTGAAGGAGAACTCAAGATTGAGCTCGAAATTAGTGTGTTCTACTTCGACACGAAGCATTCAATGAATGGGCTTAATGAAGAAATTGAAGAAAAAGTGCAGAGGCACATGGTGGGACTACATCACCAACTTTTGAGAAGGGCCGTAAAAGATTTGAGTTCGATAAGCTCGAGGTCGTGCTTCTCCCAACCTGGGGAGAATGATGCAGATAAAAATGTAGAAAGTGCGCATAGATAATGTGGGGGTGCGCATAGATAAGGTGGGGTGTAAGTTTTAGTAGGATTGGGGATATAATAGTTGATTTTAATATTAGGCAAAGGGATGGAGGTCTCCTATTTTGATGGATTTGGGATATTTACCTTGAGATTTATAGGAAATTTAGATAGCGATGATTTATGGGGAAGATAAAGATGGACAAATATGGTGCGTAACTTTTAAGAGATGATATTTTCATGAGAGAGGAAATAGGGAGAGAGATCTAGAGAGATGATATTTTTGTGAGGGAAAATAGGGAGGCAAAAGAAAAATGTGGGAGAGAGATAATTTATTTTATTTGGTTTTTTTTTTAGTTATTTATTTTATTTGGAGTGTATTTAAAGGGAAGAGGTCCCACATTGTAAACAGATCAGAGAATGATCAGAGAATGAGAGTTGATTAAAGTTGATCTTGTGATTAGATCTTTTTGGGGTGGATTCCCTTGCAGACCTTGTTTTGGGGTGGATTCCCTTGCAGACCGTTGTTTTTGGGGTGGATTCTCTTGCAGACTTTGAGAGAGGGTTTATTCTCTAAATGATTTTCTTTATTTTATTTTTATAGTTCCAGTTTTATTTTCTCCTTGCATCAGTTGGTTTTATTTTCTCCCTGCTTCAGTAACCCAGCTCTGGTGTTCCATGACCAGGATCTCGATCGGAACTCGTTTTAAATTTTTCGAGAGCTGGATCCTATTTACAGGATTCTCGATCCCATGAACAAAGGATCTTGATCCCAATGTTGCATGGAACGTGTTCCTTAAAATTGTTGATCTCGTTCCTGAATAAATTAGATCCCTGCTCCCAGAAATTTAGGAGCATGATCCCTACATTCTCGAAAATGCATCCCTACTTTCTCGGAACTTCCTAAAAGAAACTTTTTAAATAAAATTAACTTTTAAAATAAAATAATTATATTTTAGGCCAAATTTTCTTACGAGTGGAGTTTTGCGATGGGAACGCGGACTAATCATGCACATAACACGATCCTTCCTTAAACGGAGCTCGATCCTTTCCAAATAGGAATGCCATCATTCTTAGATGGGGGCACGATTCTAATGAATATGGGAACATGATCCCATTTGACATGGGATGCGTACCCGTAAAACAAGGATCTAGATCCGGATGTATTGGGATCGCACTCCCTATTCATACGAGATCTCGATCATTTACTTTTACCCTCACCAGAACTCTCTTCCTCAGCTCTGGAGCTTTGGGTAGCCGTCGATCTGACGCTCCTGCTTCCAGAACCGGAGCCGTTCCGACTCCCACTCCCAATAACTATGATATATATAGAAGGGGTGGGTAAGGCTATAAAAAGAAGAATGCCAAAAAAAGATAAAAGAGTATGTATATATTACTATATTAACCTTTATAAATTTATGTATTAAAAATATTATGTAATATTTGAAAATAATCAGGTCAGGTTCGGGGTGGGTCCACCTGGACTTGGACCCGACCCAATTTTCTATTGGGGTCCAAGATTTGGACATGGACTTGATCTGCCAGGTCCAAATCTTGGAACCATACCCGGACCCGGACTTGGACCAGGACCTGGTCGGGTCCGGGTAAATTCCCAGTCCTACCTATGAAAAAATAACTATGTCTCACCATTTCCAATTATTCTATTCTTTAGTTGAGTTGTTGCAAATAGGGCCTTTGGGCTTATAAAATAGTTTTAGGGTTCATGGGTTCAGACTGGGCTTGGGTTTTTAGGGAATTTGTCTACAGGATTGAGTAGTGCTTTCCTAGATTGGTGTGAGTCAGCAGCATGTTTGGGCTTTTTGGAATGGGAACCACAAGTAGCTACTTGGAACACAAAGGGAATTTGGATTAAAGAATTAGTAACATTCCCTAGATGTCATCCCTTCTACATATTTATTAACCTCTTAATTTAGACTCCTAACTTAAACCACAAGCAACCTAACAACATAACTTCGACATCAAGCAGCTTAAATATGACCTTTAACTTAACCAAAACAACTTGAACCAGAATCAAGAAGTACTTAGGGTCTTGTTAATTGCTTTTGTTACCCTAGTGGTCTTGCAATTTTCATATTGGGAGTGCTGAATCTTGTGGAACAGTTGCATTGATCATTCTTTTTGGATCTGATACCTTTTTTTCTTTTTTCTGCAGATATATGCTGAGATGATAGGGAATGTGATGACAGATGCTCGTTCAACGGGGAAATACTATCACTGTGAGTTGATTTCTACTTTCGAGTTTGACATGTGCATTTCTCTTTTATGCCTTATGCTGTTAAACTGAAGGTTTTATGTGTCCATCCCAATACATGATTTATTTGCTGAAGGAAATTATCTTGAACTCTATAATATCTTAGAATTAGTGTGGTAATTTGATTATGTAATTTTTTCCTCTTACTGATTTTTCCTCTGCAATCGAGGGTGTGAGAATAAAGGTTGTAACAAATCACTATGCTCTGGGGAATCCACCTCTAGTTCCCTCTAAAACCTAGTTTTTCCCTTAGATTGTTTGTAAGTTTCAGTTTTATATTTCCTTTGTAAATTATTGGGTTTACTTGTTTATGCAGTTGTGAGGCTTATGGGACGTGCAGCCTCACACATTACCCTGGAGTGTGCTTTGCAGACGCATCCAAATGTTACAATAATTGGGGAAGAGGTAGCATCATAAAACATATTGTCATATTCTTAAAGATTTTATTGGGAAAATTTTGTATAATTCTGCCCATCCGATGAGTGATTTTGTGCCCCATTTTCTTGCAAAGTTGTTTATCGCATTCCATAGGTTATCTGAAAATTGTTTTTTTTTTTGGGAAAGTGGGTTTCATTTGTTTTCTTGTACTTCTTGTTTTCAACTTTTTCTAATTGGTGCGGTTTGTAGAGGGCGGCAACCTTAACCTAACTGATGGTGTATGCTATTCATTTTAGTTTGACGGTGTAGATTTGACATGTCTTTTAAGAATGTCAAAATCTGGCAAGCCTTTTTGAGATTTTCAAATTTATGCTCTCTAACTAATAGATGGCGTAGATTACTACAACTCGGCTTCTACAAGTAAAGTTGCTACCTTATCTAAATTTTTTCCCTTTCCACTTATTATTAGCACTTGAGAATAGTTTCAACATTCTCATTATCTTCTTTTTCTTGGTTATCCTTATGTTTTTTGTATAGAAGATTTTCTGAATTAGCTGATTTTCTTGTAAATCAAATGGCCCTGTTAGTGGATTCTTTCCAAATCTGTTATTATAAGTGTAGCTTAAAACTATGGTCTCCATTTTTGCCTTTTTAATGAACCAGCTGCCTCCATTTCCTTCTGGTTTTACTCTTGATTCCTATCTCAATAACAGGAGTTGGCGCAGCATTAGTCCTTGCCCAAAGTTACTCTCAAATGTTTTTTCCTGTGGTAGAATGAGGAACTATTTTGGGTTTTTTTTTATGTGTCTTTCATTCAAATTCAGTTTTTCCCGTATTATGATTGACTTTTGGAAACTTGAGAATCTTCTTGGGGTTTAGTAAAACCATTTTAGGATTCGGATTATCAATATTTTATAATCTCTGTTCAGTGGCTCGGCTTATTTCTGCTGATAGTGTACTTCTTTGTTCAGGTTGCTGCCAAAAAGCAGACCTTAAAAAATGTAACAGACCACATTACAGATGTGATTTGTAAGCGTGCAGAACTTGGTTACAACTATGGTGTTATACTTATCCCAGAAGGCTTAATTGATTTCATACCTGAGGTGGAAATTTTGAATTTTGTTCTAGTTTTAGAGTTAGTCTGTGGCTGTTTATATTGGAGGCCTACTGCTTGTATACATTCCATTAAACTAAGTAATTATGTTGTCTGCAGGTTCAACAGCTTATTGCTGAACTCAATGAAATCCTAGCTAATGATATTGTGGATGAGGGAGGGTTATGGAAACAGAAACTTCAGCATCAATCTCGTCTTCTTTTTGAATTTCTACCTCAAGCTATTCAAGAGCAATTAATGTTGGAAAGGGACCCACATGGAAATGTCCAGGTCTTCTATATGTTATTTTGTCTTTTGATTTTTGCAACTTCATGTCATTGCAAATTCACTTAGAAATGACCAAGAATCCATGTAAAATTATAGATGAATATAAATCTTCAATTTTTTGTGCTTCTCTTTTAGGTTGCAAAAATTGAAACAGAAAAAATGCTTATATCTATGGTTGAGACTGAATTGGAGAAAAGAAAGCTGGAAGGCAAATATGTTGGACAGTTCAAGGGACAGTCTCATTTCTTTGGGTAATAAAATTATCTTTCTATATTATATGGTATGATCTCCTATGCAATTTCTCTCTATGCTCCAGCTTTGTCCTTTGTGGGGTATATTCAATGTATTAAATGGAAGAAATGAGAAAAAGAGAAAAAAAATCAAAATCTGTCTTTTTCCCTATAGTTTCTCCATTCTAATCTGTAAAAATCTCTTTCTATTTGTTCTCTCCACCTTATTTCCATACTAACTCTCTTCCTTCATGTGTTTATACTGTCTTTACGATATTTGATTGGTTACAACGATTGAGTAGGTTTATGGCCTGTTCGTGTGTCTGAGGATTGATAAGTCACATTTGGGTCTGTGTATAAATATTTTTCTAATGGGTTATGTTAGGGTACTCCTATGTAGGAGTATTCCATAATGTACTCAAAATATTCCTACAATGTAGTGACTTTTTGTCTATAGAGTTATTTTAGGCTATTAGTCGGGTAAATTTGAAATTCTTTGTAAGAAGAGAAACATTTATTAATTGTAGTGGAGGATGACATCATCCACATGGGATGTGGCATCACCCACATGGAGCAATGATTGCTTCTCCATCACAAATAGAATGCCACTAGCTTCTTATAAAATATCTATTATGCTCTTCTTAATGATGAGAAATGCCCTTACTAATTTTTTTTTGTATTACAAAATAAGGATAAATGATTGTCCAAAAATGTTGAGTACATAAATGAAATACTCATATGTATTAGTACCCTAACATAACCCTTTTTTAATAGGTCTATTTCATCCTTTTTGGTGTTTTTCCATCTTGAGTATCATATTGGGAGATGGAAAATTTTTTCATGGTCGGTACACATGTAAATCTTCATTCAATATAATCTGAGTTCAGGTGGTATTTTGGCTTTAAATAGACATGAAGTTTGGGGCCTTCTGGTAGTGTTATTAAGACCGGATTAGACCAGCGAAACATGCGGGATGTTTTCGGTGGGTAATGTGTGTTTGTTCCGGGACACATTTTTGATAAAATTTTGGACCTTTGCTGAAAAAATGATGACCTTCAAGCATACTTGGAGAGGGCATGTTTTGTAGCTAGAGGGGAGCGAGTAGAGACATTATTATTGATGTTGTCCTAATTGATAGGAATACATCCTTCTCTAGTTTCAGCTATTTATTAAAAGAATTTATACTTGTACATCTTATGCTGATTAGTAAAATATGTAAATCATTAACCCCCCTCCGCCTTATCTCCAAAAAACACTAAAAAAAGAAAGGATTCAGAATTAGAGGAAAACATTTCGATCCCCAGTCTCTTCCTCGTGCTTTCCATTTGCTATGGGAGATAAAGCACCTATGATGCTAATGTAATCTCCACAAGTATTTGTTTCCTTCTCCTTTTCTAGGTGTGCTCCATCTCTTCATGTAATTCTTCTACCGATAATTACATGGGAAATTTATGTACATACCCAAATAATTTTGGAATTAAAAATTGGCCCCCATTTTAGGACATTTTATGGAGAGTTCTAAACTTATCAAGTTTTTTATTCCCTTTTACCCCTTGTTCAAAGTCAAACTCTTGAATGACCCCATCACTAAGTTTTTTATTTTATTTTATTTGTTATTTTTGTGTTTTGGGTGGTTTGAAGACTTTCGAATCACCCAAATACGTGGGTTTCTTTGTCTTTGGGCGGTTCAAAGACTTCCAAACCACCCAGGCACCTTTTGTGTGTGTGTGTGTGTGTGTGTTGGCTATTTAGGAAGTTGGATTTTCTAGCTGGGGGTGAAATGGGAGTAAAAGAACTAAATTTTTTTAGACCTCATGTTAAAATGTCGTAAAATGTGGACTACTTTTTTATCCAGAAAATTATTTTGGGTCTGGATGTAAATTTCCCTGATTAAATTGTAATTTAGTGTGTATATTTTGTAACTTTCCCTTAACCCGTCCCAAGCCAGGGTAAAGGAGGTGGTTTGACTTTATCTAATTTATCAAAGAGAAAAGGGAATATTCAATTGGTTTGGAGGCCTGTTTGAATGACCAGTCCTTAGGGGTCCAGAAACTTTTATCTGACTCATTTTGCTGGCCCACCCCAGCTGGATTAGGTTTGAGTTTTTCTTTGTTTTCCTTTTCTTGTTGGTAAGGGATGGGTCCGCTTCAGGGCTGCATTTTTGCCAGATCCTATGAAATAATGCTGTATCAACTTTTTTGGTCGAGTTTGACTATTTGGTATGTATAGTAGTTTGGAAATTCAAAAGTTGGCCTTGCAAATATCTTATAGGCTTTGCTCCAATATGCCTTGAGGTGTACCTTCACCATTTCATGGCATATCTGATGTGTATAAATGCTAAACTTCCATGCAGTTATGAAGGAAGATGTGGCTTGCCTTCGAATTTTGATTCTATGTATTGCTATGCATTGGGATATGCAGCTGGAGCTCTTCTACATGCTGGAAAGACGGGCCTCATATCATCGGTTGGCTTCTGATACCCTTTGTTTTCTCGTTTGCATCTCTTCAGTTGTTTTATATTTTGTATAATTTTCTTTAACCGTTTTGATATTTGTAATGTGCAATGATGGAAGGTATTACTGATAAAAAGAAAGAAAGAGAAAGACATTGAAGAGAGACTGCATAGTTTTGATAATTGGAATTTGAGAACTTGTTTCCTCTAAGAACCAATGTAATGCGTGAATAGTTGTGTTTGGAGATATGTAATGGTAGTTGTGCTTCTTTGCATTGAAATTTGAAATCTATAATGTCATTTTTCTCTATTTACATGAAAAATTATTTGTATTATCAGAAAAGGTGTTGGTTCTGCCTCTCGAATTTTTTGTTCAACTGTAGGAATTTCGAGCAATGAAGTCATAAAGACCATCCATCACCCTCTTAATAAAAAAAGGTTTTTCTTATGTCATTGTGACATTAGTTGGATTCCATTCAGTGCCTTGGGCTAGCCAACACTGCTTTTCATGGTTACCAAGGGAGTCAGATTGTCATATAACAATATCATCATTTTTATCACTTTTAAGCCATTACTATTAAAATTGGGAATGTTTGCTCCTTTCAAATCAACTTGTGGTGAAGTTTCAAGCCTTATTGCAGTCAAAGCTTTGTTTCTAGAGGCACCTATGTGAAAACCCTGTTGGAACAAGATGGGAGCAGCAATGGCAAACCCTGTTTTGTCTAGAGGCTCCTATGTCAAACCCTGTTGGAAAAAGATGGGGAGCAGCAATGGCAAACCTTGTCGGAAGACGATGGGGAGTATTTGTACGAAAATATTCTATCTTCTATCAGGAATAGCTTGGGAACCATTATGGAAGCATTAACTTAAGAAATGATTGACAGGAACTGCTGAGCTTGGCTTACCTAGGTGGCCATACGAATATGCGGTTGTATTAAGCTAAACTTTCATGGAAGTTCATGAAGCAACTTGGTTCTGGGTGGCTATGGAGGTATCCTTAGAGATGCTGATGGATCCTCATTTCTGGCTTACTCTGGAGCAATCTCTTATTGTTATTCCTCATTTGCCGCGGCTTATACCTTACTAATGGGCTTCAAGCCTAGCAAAGGCTAATGCATTACTCATGCTTAACTACAAAGAAACTTTCTTTGGGGTCACTATTCCATCCACAAATATCCGCACAATATTTCAAAAAACGCTAGGCTGCCGGGGGCGGTCCAGGCCGCTTAGCGCCTAGGCGGGCCCAGAACCTGGGTGGTCTAGTAGAAAGAAAAAAATTGTGGGGTTTTTCTTTCTCTAAACTACGCTCTAATGGATTTTAGGTTTCAAATGAACCTAAAACCCATAATTTTACCCCTTTAATATTAAAAAAGCTGATAAAAAAATGCCCTCAACGAGGGGCATTTCCGTCCCTGGATGGGGCGGCAAGTTGCTGCCTAGGCTTGGGCGATGCGCCCGGTCCAGTTCTGGACCACCTAGACGGCCGCCTAGGGGCTGGGCGGTCCACTTTTTAAATCACTGTAACTACATCTTGTCAAATGGTCCTCTTTTTGCAAACTATTTATTGAAGGTGGACTATGTATCACATGCATTTAAGACGGAAACCTTGCCTTCCGTGGAAAGCTTGGATGGGAGTTCACATGTGAGGTCCATTCACCTTGCATCAAACTTTTGAATTAAAATGACCTTTGGACATCCCACTTTGCAAAAAGCCGTGGTTTTTCTGCGAGATGAATGAGTTTTTTCCAACTATATGAGTGAGAATTGCAACTGGTTGGTTCAAACCAGACTGTGTGAACCACTGCTTCCACTGGGCAGACTAGCCAAGGCAGGTACTAGTGGGTGTACAGCTTTTCCAGTTTTAAATATTGAATGGTTTAGGGTCTGTTTCGGTCCTACCCATTTGAATCAGCCAGTTCAGTCCAACTTTGAACTACTTGATTTTGAACCGTATTAACTTTCCTGCAAAAGTATACTTTGCATAGTTGTTTTCAGCATGGACAAGTTTCAAGATTATAAATAGTGCAGGAGCATTTTTAGATTTCTGGGTATATTAGTCAGGAATATTTTTAGGTTCTAGGTAAATAAGTAGTCTAGGGCTTGGCATTACTCAAGGGCTAGATTGTTAAAAGTTGAGTAAGAATGGGTCACATAATAAATGTTTTCTGGAGTTATTGAGCCTATTGGCAGCTGTAAAGGAGGTCGATTGTCATTCTAGGCACAGCATCAGAGCAATGTTATCAACTTGCTTTGCTTCGGGCGAATTGACCGAAGCCCGTTAGATTCAGCCGGTTAGCTGAAGTGAAGCAAAGATAATTGGAAAATTTAATTTGCCTTTATACCTTGAATTTATTGTCAAATGGCATTTTTACTTATGTTTTAATTGACATGCCACTTGTGTATAACGTTCTTTGAATGAGGAAAACAAACCTTGTGAATTGTGACTATATGGCAACTTTTTATAAAGAGGGAAAGGGAGGAAAACTTATTTTTAGAGAGAGAAAACCGTAGCCTATGAGATAAATCCATGCTCTCTCTAAATGAATAAAAGGATAATGAATTAAAATCAGTCTTTGTTTGAGGTAAAAAATATTTAAAATTTTAAAAATTAAATTCATAAGAAACTGAAGCAGTAATTTACTTTAAAATTTACATTTATTAATATAATACTTATATTATTTAAATTTTTTTATTTCCACTTTATTTATACCTGAAGACTTCCCGAAATTGGCTGAAATGCCAAAGTGGTTCCATTTTTTTGGTCAACACGTAGAGGTAACATTTCTCTTGCTAAGCAGGTGCCTCCTTTTTTTTTTGGGACTTTCCTAAACCGTTGATACTTTTTCCAGTACATGATTTTAGTTTCTTAGATGATTCCTGGAATTTTTGTTGCTTTTAGGTTGGCAATCTAGCGGCTCCTGTGGATGAATGGACTGTTGGTGGTACAGCATTGACATCATTGATGGATGTGGAGAGGCGGAAGGGTGTGTATCTCCTTTACCCTTCTCTTCTAACTTTTCACATGTTTACTAATGATTAAATTATTCCAATTGTGCTATAATTGCTTGCCCTTTTCGTTTGTATATCTTATGATTAGTTACACAAACATGTGGCTTTGAGTCACATCATTTTGTTTCTCTAGTTATTATAGCAATTTATAACTGGGTTGTAATAGTGTTCATTTTTCAAAGAATGACACAGGAATAAACTGATTTTTATAGGAGGGATCAAGTACTTACAATACTTTGTTGCATTCAATAAAACTCTCTTGAATTATGAGTTCAATAGATCCTATATAGCAGAAAGACAAATATTCCTCGCTCATTGTCAGCTGATCACTTAACCTTGTGTGGGGCAAATAGTTCTCATGGATCATGGTAGTCCCAGTGCTATTTCTTTCTAGGAAGTATGACCATTAATGAACTTAAGGCCGTCTGACAAGATTTATATCTTCAAGTTCTGTCCTTTTTTTTTCCAGCTATTGTTGTGGTCCAATCAATTGAAATCGAGGGATAATGACTATTACAGACAAATTTTAGGAAATTTCGCATATATAGTGTAGTTGATAAACTTGTCAGATTAATTAGTGTATGCGTGCTTCTACATAGGTCGGCTAGAATGGCTAGTGCTGGGGACAATGGTTTGCCATGTCAAGTCTACAATATATCCAGAAAATTCTGCAAGCTGGCCTATTCGATATTTCTGAACATTCCAGTTTATTATGTATTTTTCGTTCCATCTGATCTAGTTCCTGTAAAGTCCAATCTTTTGACAAAGTTCCAAGAGGAATACCTGGCTTTGCTGCTAAAGGTTTGTACAATTTCTGCATCAATGCAAACAGAGCCAGACCAAGATTTTCCTTGGAAGGCGCTGGATAAGGTTGCTGCAAAATGAAACATTTTCTTCAAGTTTAATGGTTCTCCCTTAATGCCTGCATCTTGGATGGGCACAGGTGCATTGTTTTCTGCATGCCTGCAGATATAATCTTCAGTCCTTCACATAATGCCCCACATGGAGAAATAAGCTGAGGAACAGGCACTGCAAGCCTATTAGTTACTGCACTCTAACTGAAGTAAAATTTATGGACGTATATCTCTTAGCTGTATACTTGTATATACCTATGATGACTCCTTTTAAGAACCGGTGGTTGATGAACATTACCTTCTTGGAGGTGAATTTAAATTCCATAAAAAATATACTCTCATAGATAAAAATAATTATGACGTACATCAAATTTATTGATCTGGAGCTTTAGGTCAAGTATTTCTTGTTGAATACTGTATTGGTTAAACCTCACAAGAACTTCTAACCTGTGTTTCTAGATAGGAAAAAGTTTATATAAGTGCGAGGCTCTAAACAATCAAATTAATGCGCGCCTTAAAATTTTCACTAGAAGAGGCTGTTTTGATGCCCAAAAATCCTCTAATTGATCATCTCGACCTCAAGATGCATGGACATGAGAAAAAATGGATTTCAAGTATTGGAAATAGTGTATCTTGTAATGCATGTGTGGACCGTCAATTTCCAAGTTTTCATAGATCTGCTGAAGCTTTAAATTTTATAATTAGAGTTGAAAATATATTTTAGGGCTATCACAATGATTTCCAGTATTGAAACCACGTTTCTTGAACTATTTGAAGGCGCGCTTTACTTGGATTGTTTAGAGCCTCGGCCTGCTTCCCCCAATCCACACAAAAACAAAAAAATATCCCTGGAAAGTGTACTTTGAAAGCCAGACCATTAGGGTACATAGAGCATCTTGATACTGGAGAGGTGCACAGATAGTAAAAATTGAGTAGGACTTCCTAAATTAGAAGTTGGAACACAACCCCTAGAGTAAGAGTCGGGGTAATGCTCCGAGGAGAATTCTGTAGACAACAGGATCTCCTGATGCTTATTGATTTCAACTAAGCTTCTGAACAAAACTGACATGACTGAAGATGTTTTGACTCTGAGTCCTTCAATTTATATGCATTGTGAAGAAGCCACAGTGTCCATATTTCTCCTTTATTAGTGGTCAAACATATTGATTTGTCTTTATGAAAAATTCCTACGGATAAAATAAAGGGAGCATCTTAATGTTTTGGGGAGCTGATACTGATAAACAATGTACCTAATCCTCAAAACAAAAATGTCTGATAACTTGGGAATTTCATTGAGCATCTTAATGTTTTGGGGAGCTGATACTAATGAGCAATGTACCTAATCCTCAAAACAAAAATGTCTGATAACTTGGGAATTTCATTCACTGGTTTTCCACCACCTGGTTATATTACCATGTGGTGTTTTTAGTACAAGAACATGTCGTAAACAATGCTGGAGACACTTGAGAAAATAAGAAGCACCTTTTCCTCCAAAAAAAAATTTTACTCCAAAAAAAAAAGCACCTTTTCATATGTATTGTGTTTGTAAGAATTAGTACAATGTTCTTGGAAGAAATTCTGGGATCGATAAAAGTCTTCCTCTCAGTTTTGTGTATCATGGAAAAATTTTGCTGGTCAAAGTAATGTTAAATCAAATTTCTGAATGGAGTTTATATGAAGATTTGTGCCATTTTTTTGCTGTTTATGGAATGCCACCTGCGCCTGCTAGATCTTATAACTTTATGATAATGGATTGAATTTCTGTTGAGCTGTTGCATGTGCATGGTTAGATTTACTTTGTTCATGGTGTTTAAGTCGTCTCTGAATTGTAGGTAAGTTCAAACCAGTGATTAAGAAGGCAATGGTAGAGCTTGAAGGTGAGGATGTGGTTATATTGCTTCTTATTAATTAAGCTCTCATTTGTATTAGTTGTCTTGTACAATTAGAATATTGACTAATGATCTCATACAAATTAGGTGCACCGTTCCAAAAGTTTGTATCCATGCGAGATGAATGGGCTCTCAAGAATCGATACATCAGCCCTGGTAACCGCTCTCTCTCTCTCTCTCTCTCGTTTCTCATTTTTTTTTATCATTATTCTCTCTCTTGCATTTCTCATTTTTTCGATCATTATTATCTCTCTCACACACATTCATTGTTTCGATCATTTTTACAGGCCCTATTCAATTCTATGGCCCTGCATCCAATGATATTAATCACACTTTGCTGCTGGAGCTTGGAGCCCAAGCATGATGAGAAAATAACATCTTACTTGTCTGTTATGTCATCTTCCAATGAAGCAAAATAAGACTCACTCAAAATGCAAAAATTGCTGAAATATGTTTGGGTGAAAATGCAGCTTTTCGATGATATGTTCATCTCTAGATGAAATAGATTATCGAGATATGATCATTTAAGTTTTGTTGCAGAGTTGACATCATTTAATCTATCGAGGGAATTTTAACTTACTGAATGTTTCTTTACCCACTAAAATTAAATTATGCTCGCGTGTTTTCATCAAGTGAGGTCCTTGAAAGTTATGTGGCCTTGGCTGTTCTTGTTCATGGCTTGCTCATGTGGACATTAATAATAGGGAAATATTTAAAAATGGGTCAAATCATCTAAAAAACTCATGGAATGGTTAAAATATTTAATTTTTATGCATTGCATTTTACTTGTAAAAAATCTGTTTACGTTTGGCTAGGTAATATTTTTAAGAGAAATGCTCCTATAGGACCTTCCATCCATGTGTGTAGGACCTCAAGATCACCATTAAATTTAGTACAGATCTATAGTAAAGTCAAGCACCACATTTATGTGATAAATTTTTTAGAGATCCGTATCAACTTTAATGGTGATATTTTAAGGTCTTATACATATGGGTGGGGAGGGTCCTATAGGATCATTACTCTATTTTTAAGGGTCTGTTTAGAGTTAACAATTCGTTGGTTAATATTAGTATGGATTGTGATGGGTGTATTTATTACAATAATGTACTATTTTTTATTTTATTATTATTATTATTTTTATCTTTTTTATTTTTTTTATAGCTTCTTAATTGAAAGGGTAATTTGAATTTTTTTTGAAAGTAAAATGGTAGTTTAGAAGTTCGTCTTTAATTTTTCTTTGTATATCTCTAAAATTTCAATTTTACCTTTAAAAAAGATGATAAATATACCCATTATTTTTAGTGATAACTACTGATACTCGCTTGATGAGCAATATTACTACAGAAAGTGATTTTTTTTTAAAAAGAAACTAGTAAACGAAGTGTCACAAATCCGTTTATCCATTGTCAAGTTGGATAGCTTAGGGTGTAATGAAATTTAAGAATTTTTTTTGAACTTTGAGTTTAGTCAATGACATAAATTGGATAGCTAGAGTGATGAAATTTAAGAAATTTTTTTTGAAGTTCGAGTTAAGTCAATGACTACCACGTGATTTGAAATTTGACAGAAAATAATGATTGTACTTTCTAATATATAAAAGTAAAAGGAAAACTTTCTATGTTCTCCCTACAACATAAAAGTTCTATGTTTTCTATCATTTTATTTTTATCAAGAGAGTTGCTCACCGTTTGATCTTAGATCCAACGTCTCAAAGTATTTTATTTTTAATTTTTTTGATACAATTTTTTTGAATATGAAACTTGGTACGTGCCATCTTCTCATTGGAGTGCACTTATAAAAAATATTAACAATGTTTTTTTGATAAAAAATAATGACCAAAATACGTTTTGAATCTTTCAGAGGTATTTGGGTCATTTTATTTTATTGAAAATATTTTTTTATATTTTTCATTAGTGCGAGTTTAATATAGGAATGGACGTCCAAAATTTGGTGTCAAAGCAGTTTATAGAAAAAATATTAAAAATAAAACAGTGTAGAGACGTGACATTGTGATTGGGACAATCTTAGCCATCCATTCAAAATGGATGGTTGGATAAAAGGGAACATAGAAAGCTTTCTCAAAAATAAATTATCTTTTTGTACTTAACCTATACTAAATCCACATTTCACAATACATTCGATGCGTACTTTTGCATTTTAGAGGGTTGTGGATTATACATTATCCTATTTTTGAAGGATTTATACTCGACTGCTTATATTTGCAACAAGAGGACTCCAAGATGGACATGAAATTGTGCAGTTGGGGAGGGCCATTGACATCATCTAACGTCTAAGAAAATATTTCTATAACTTAATGTAAAAAAATGATTGGGTAGTTTGATTTCACATCTAACGGCTAAAACGGTTGAGGATTATGACCTTGCGCTAAATGTAAACGTTCTTTTTGTATACTCTCCTGTTCTTGTTTTTCGAAAAAGTGAGGGTATGCCTCATGAATTGCCATGAGTTATTTTAGGAACCATTGATCATCTCCTTGTTCAGGTTTTACTCAAGGATAGGATTTTTATGCTTCCCCTTATATACTTCCTCTTATTCAACTGTCCATTATGAATGGATGACTAAGATGACCCAGTCACAATGTCATGTCTCTATGCTATTTTATTGATTAAGATGGCCCAGTCACAATGTCATATCTCTATGCTATTTTATTTCTATCTTTTATTTACAAAATACTTTGACACCAAATTTTGGGCTTTCAATCCTCTTTTAAGCCTGTACTTGTAAAAAATATAAAAACAATATTTTTAATAAAATAAAATGACCAAAATACATCTGAATGATTCAAGGGGTAGTTTAATCATTATGTTTTATCAAAATATTCTTTTAAATATTTGTTTAGGTGCACCCCAATGAGAAGATGACATGTATCAAATTTCATATTCATACAATTTGTAGAAAAAAACTAAAATAAAATATTCCAAAGCGTTGGATCTAGATCAAACGATGAGTGGCACAAATCAAAATTGGACGGCAAGATAGGAGGGGAAGCATTTATCTTCTATGTTGTAGGGGAAGTATAAAAACCTTCCCGTTTACTCAAAACCATCTAGATCTACAACTTGGTTTTGGATTTGAACACAATCGAGTCGTGCAAATGCATTCATGCCTTGGCTTGTTTTGGGTTCTTGACAACTAAATTTCTCTAAAATACTTATTTTGTGTTCAAATCTTAGAAGAAAGAAAAAGTTTATGTAACTGCAAGGATCTAAACAATCAATTTTGGGAGCACCTCAAAAATTCACTAAAAGAGGTTGTTTTGAAGCCCAAAAATCCTCAAATTGATCATCTCGACCTAAAGATGTATAGACATGAGAAAAAATGGATTTCAAGTATTAGAAATAGTGCATCTTATAATGCATTTTTAGACCTTCAATTTTGAAGATTTTCTTCAAGTGTTCATAGATCTGCTCGATTTACCTACTTTTGAAGTTTTAAATTTATAATTAGAGATGAAAATAAATTTTTAAGCCATCACAAAGGTTTCTATTATTGAAACAACATCTTTTGACACTATTTGAAGATGCACTTTACTTTGATTGTTTAGAGCCTCGACCTTATGCAAACCACACATATGGTCAACATGCTTTCGGTGGATCCGAGGGTGTTATGGTGATAAGAACTATGGGGAGGGGAGTATGGGTCATTTTCCCAATTATTTTTGGGTGCAAAGAGCAAATGTATGTCAACGTAGCTTCGTTTCTCTTCCTATCTCTGTTGTGATAGATGGAAGTCATCTTAATGGCTTTTTAGTGCTTAGTCTTTATAAATCATGATACATGTACAAAGTTGTGATAGATGGAAATCATCTTAATGGATTTTTGGAGTGCGACTTGTACAGAGCCTATGCTCTAAACCATCAAATTAGAGCCCACCTTCAAATAGTATTGAAAAATGTAGTTTCAATATTAGAAATCCTTTTTATAGCCTTAACTATATTTCTATTTTTATTTATAAAGTTTAAAGCTTCAAAAATAGTGTAGACTGATAGATCTATGAAAACTTGAAAATCTTGAAAATTGACAGCCTAAAAATGTGTTATAAAATACACTATTTTCAAAACTTGAAATCCATTTTTTTCTCATGTTCATGCATGTTGATGTTGAGATGATCAATTTGAAGATATTTAGGAATCAAAACAACCTTTTCTAGTGAAATTTGTGAGGTAGACTTTAATTTGATTGTTAGAGCCTCGGCTCTATATAAACTTTTCCCTTATGTAAAGCGCATTCATAGGTTCCTAATCCACCATTCTTCTTTAAAGGGTGCGGTTTATATAGAGCCTAGGCTCTAAACAATCAAATTAGACCCTACATTCAAATAGTATTGAGAAATATGATTTCAATATTAGAAATCTTTGTGATAGCCTTAAAATATATTTTTATATTTACTTCTAAAGTTTAAAGCTTCAAAAATAGTGTAGATTGACATACCTATGAAAACTTGAAAATCTTGATAATTGACGGTCCAAAAATGCATCACAAAATATACTATTTCCAAAACTTACGATCCATTTTTTTCTTATGTCCATGTATCGTTATGTCGAGATAATCAATTTGAAGATATTTAGACATCAAAATAACCTCTTCTAATGAAATTTTTGAGAAAGGCTCAAATTTGATTGTTGAGAGCCTTTTACTCCATATAAAATTTTTCGGTCTTTAAAAGGCACGCCGCAGTCCATTTTGCCTAATTGAATTTCCTTTTCTCAATGGAAACACTCCACAAAGAGTTCTTCATAATCAATTCCAATTGTTTAAACATCTTGGGACTCACTCGAAAAAGCGTAAAATAATATACTAGGAAATTGGAAGAGTGGATTTAATCAAAGTGATTCTCCCATTGAAGAGTTTAACTTGGGTTGAAATCTTTCCACAACAGTTCCCAGATGTCTTTACTAGGTGAAATGTCTACTAGATGGAGGCCCAAATACATATTTGGTAAAGAATCCTTTTCATATCCGAGTCACTATGCCCGAATACTTATTTTTGACCCTGAAACCAAGTTTATAGCATTTAAGAAAGGACAAGCTTTCTATGCATTTCCTACAGCATAAAATTTATATATTTCTTTTTATTCAACTGTCTATTATGAATGGAGGGCTTAGATTGTCCCAATCACAAATGTCACGTCTCTACATTATTTTATTTTTAATTTTTTTTATAAACTATTTTGACACCAAATTTTGGATGTCCAATCCTCTATTAAACTCACGCTAGCGAAAAATATATATAAAAAAATTCTAATAAAATAAAATGATCAAAATACCCTTGAAAGTTTTAAGGGGTATTTTAGTCATTATATTTTATCGAAAAATTATTTTTAATATATTTTATAGGTGCTCCCTAATGAGAAGATGGTTCGTACAAAATTTAATATTCATACAATTTCTATAAAAAAAATTAAAAATAAAATTCTTTAAGACGTTGGATCTAAGATCAAACGGTGAGTGGCTCTCTTGATCAAAATTGGATGGCTAGATGGTAGGGAAAGCATAGATATTCTATGTTGTAGGGGAAGTATAGAAACCTTTTCCTTTAAAAAATAGCCATAGATTTTAAATTTGTTATAAATTTACTTTATAAAACATTAAATATCATCCGCATAT